CCACTCATGAAATTCCAGAAATGTTGCACTCTCTTGCCAAAGGAATTATAATGGATAAAACAAGGAGAACAAATAAAGAAAACATTATTTTGACTGGAAAGAGGTCAGGATTCTTTAAAATTAGTGGTACACTGGGATGAAGGGGTGAGGTTGGGGGCTTAAGGTCCCCATTGGTCTGGAATCAGGCCTGCTCTGGTCAGATTGGAATGGCTCACAGATCCAGGGGCTGGTAATCTGATCATCGTCTTTCTCATTTTCATGCTGTGTTTTCTTCAGAGCCCCTTCTCCTGGCTCCAGCCTGTGACAGTGTGATAAGACACTAGAAATTTAGTCATCATGGCTACAGCAAAGGCTTTCAGCGAAGGGATTATGCTATGCCATAACCCTTACATTAGCCACGGACCCGAGTAGCCCTGCTGTGATTACAGAGCTCAACACCACTATGGTTTTCTCTCCCTTTGCCTGCTGGCTGATTTTATTTGCCTGTTTTATTCATATATTCAGTTCATAAAAAGAAAGCTTTGAGAGATAACCCAGAAATAGTTATGCTCACAATCAGCCCCCTCAGTCTCGATGTACAATGCTCTCAAGTTTTGCACCCAGATGCAGATCCACTTCTCACCAACACAGGATACACAACTATCAAGGGTGTTATTAAGAGCGCCCATCTGATGTCTGTCTTTATGAGGGAGTACAGGCAGGATGAGCTGAATGAATCAACATGGAACACTGAGAGCCTCCAAAGGGAGCAGAGATTTAGGAAAAAACAGAATGAGTCGCAGAAGCAAAGCAGATATGGTTGCATCCTATTACCTGTGGACACAGGGTTTTTTTTTTTCTTTCAAAGAGGCTATTTCTAACCTTTGACAGCACATTTTGCATGGGCAGTTCAGAAGAATAAGCTGGACAAAACATGGAAATGTCTCTAACAAAGTATCTCTTTGGGGAATACTCCTTCTGCTAATCTTTTGGCTGAAATGTTTTATTCACCAAGGTCCCATTTTTAATTCTATTAGTTAAAAGCAAATAAAAATGAAATATCATTAATTACAGTTTTAAGGAAAATATATTTCATTGTATTTCTTTACAACAACTTAAAAACAGGTGGAAAAGATTAGAATCTTTTTTATATAGGGGAAATGTGACATGACATACATGTAACACACAGGGAAAATAGAAGATGAAACATATATGTTATTACATTTGCCAAAATGATGTTGTAATTTTTAAGCACTTGCAAATATAAGAATGAATCTAAAATAAATAAGCAAAGTGTAGTCTTAAAATCAATTTTAAACCAATAGAAACCCACATTGACTGAAAATCTCAATTCAGAGTCATGTGTAAGAAAAGTCTAGATTCCAGGTCTTCCATTTAATGATGCTGACCTTGGATGTCACATGTCATTTATAAAAATATAATTATGTTCTTTTTAGAAGGTTATGATAAGGATTTTATTAAGTGGTATAACACAAGTCAAGCACTGGTAACATAGAAGGTGCTCCTTAATGCCAGGATAACCAAAATGCCATCATGACTACTCAGTTATGGTGAAGTAGTCAGGATCCAGGAGAATAATGGAGCTCTGGCCCAAGTGCATTGGGCACCAGGAAGGAGAACACAGCAGGTCCCTGGATCCATTAGACCATCTCTGAGTGGGCTTAATGTAGGGCTGACATGGGCCTTCTGTTCACCAGTGCTCAATGTATCTCTCTCACCACCTCTCTCTCACTCTCTCTCATATAATTCAGATAAATACCTTGGTAGGCTGTCTATACTTTTCACCACTGGAGATTTTCTATTCTACTATATTTTATTAGTAACTTTCCTGACACTTCTACGTCAAAGCCTCTTGCTTGCCACCATGCCTTGTCAATTTCAGAATAATGTCTACCTTGTCAGTGATGGTTTAATTCTGCTGTTGGAGAATACTATCATTCTCATTGGTACTCGAGATCCCCATTCTCTATCAGCATCTTCTATGGATAACCCAGAACTATGTATAAAGGCCACTATGGAGCTTCTCGAACACAGGCATTGTCTAAGTAAGAGGAGCCCTCGGGCTTGTGTCCTGTGTTTGCTCCCATACAGTAAACCCATCTCCGGGTCACACGTCCCTGAGCATTTGGTGCCTTGACTCAACAGTCTGTCAGGGCAGCTTTAGCTTCTCTGCTTCATTCATTCCAGCTCATTTAGGTACCCAGGCTTTAAGGAGATAGATATATATGGACTACAAGTAAATTAAGATACTTCTCCATATCTCAATCAAGATTTTTAATCCCCTAGTGACAAGGGCTGTGCCCATGTGAACCCTACCCTGCCTAGATTTACATTCTGACTACCTTCACTTAATACTCTCAACGTCCATCTTTGCAGGGCCTCCCCTCTCTTGCTCAAATAAATTAGAGAAGTTCTTTTGGTTAGTAACCTATCTCCTTCCAGAGCAGGACCCATAATTTCCTGCTTATCTGTGTTGGGACATGAATGTGCATTTTGATAGAAGAAATAAAAATGAATTTCAAAGGTCAGGCTCTAGGGAAACTATTTCTAAGACTGAGATGTGAATTCAATCTGTGTACTTGGGAGTGCTCTGGAGAACAACAATGCTCTGTATTGGATGAGGGATGCAGAATTGTGCAGAGAAGTTAAAATACAAAACAAATTCAGGAGAGGCCTTGATGGATTCTAGGGGAGCACTGACACTGGGATGGTTCTTCAGAGTTGTCCCAGTTGGGGAAGAGGGCCAGGACTTAGAATTTCTTCATGATCTGTCACTGTTTGTATACTGTCCCAGGGGGGAATACAAACTTAGTTCTGGGCAGCATCTCTTGGCTGAGTGCTGTTCCTGGAGAGGAAATCAGCTGAGTCATCACTGAGCAACAACAATCTTAAGGGAATGGAAGTTTTGGCCCTCTTGAGAATCTTGGGCATTAGACCCTGGCATCCACTATAGTCTACTCTTTGTACTGCTTGTGTCCATTTGCTTTTATAGTGAGTTCATACCATTGGAAATGGTAGCTCCATGATTCTGGCTGGTCATGCATCCTGGCTGGTCATGCATCCTGGGGAAACTTGCAAGAGGAAGGTTAGTTGGGGCGACTACAGCCTCTGCTGCTGTAGCTGGCTTCAAGGCTGCAGGTGGTCTGCACCACTGCCCCTGAACTATTTATTCTAGATTCCCCTCATCTTTAACAATTCCTCTGTTGGTCACCTGCCCATCTTAGGCCATGGTTGTTACACTTGTCCACTTAACAATAAGACAGCCAGAGAGCACCAACAGATACACTGGTGGGTCATATTTTTGCCATACCTTTTTTCCCAGCCCCTGTTATAAAAGAGCATCTCTTCTGCCTGCCAAAATGGTGGGCCTTCTTTTTCCTGCTGGCTCATCATCATGGGGAATCTGAAGTGATGAAAGAGGCAGCCATTGCTTAAGGTCCCATAGAATTCTTTCTGGTGAGAAGTGTTCACCTTTAAGAACTATGGCCTCTAGACCTATAGAACTTCAAAGTCTGGAGGACAGGGAGGAGAAGAACCAACTCTTAAGTGAGTCCCAAAGAATAACAGTAAGTGGGGCCATTCTGATTTCAGTCTTTGATTCCTAAGGCCCACAGACTCAAAGCTTTGTTCCTCCTCATGGGAAATTGACCTTTTCCTCAGTCAGTAGGTTGGAGCTATGAAGGTGGTTTACTCCTAAAGACAGGTCTTGGTATCATTGACTCTCTGCTGGAGTGCATAGCTCCCTGGTCTTCTATCTTTATTTCCTTTGGTTAGAGAGATTGTGAATTATCTTTGTTGACTGACCATCTTCTTCACTACTGAAATTTCCATTCCACTAACCATCTGCATCACATTCTATGAGTTAAGTCTCTCTGATGCAGGTCTTAGGCTGGCACTTACTGCAATAAATATACCCTCCTTGCTTTGGTTGATCAGATGTTGTTGTCTGGCTTCTCATTTCAAGATTTTCCCAACCACACCACAGCAAGAAGTCCAATTCTATGACATCTTCTATGGTCTGAACTAACCTTCAATCAACAGACACCACTGAACTTGTAACATTAACAATGCTTTTCTCACAGGTTTATTCCTTCACTTTTCAATAACGGAATCCACTGCACAGTCTCCATGGCACGCAGTTCTAGCTAGCCCACTTCTCAAAGCTTTGTGCTTTCTCCCTATGACTGCACCATTCCCCATGGCAACTCTAGCATTTGTACTTTGCTAACATATGAGCTGCTGCTTTCTCCCAAAAGTCAGCATAGCATTGTCTTAGCCCCACCTCTCAGGGTCTTAGCCAAAGTGTTAAGTCCTGTGTAATAAAATGATTCTTATATATAAAAACTGTACATTTCTATGATCAAAGACCCTGAAGACACAGTGCCATACCTGTTTCACTGGATCCTGCTCATACACAGTCTCTAGGTTCTGCAGATTCTTTGTAGGCTAAGCAGTTCCTAGGCCAAGATGTGTTGACTCAACCCTTGTTAATGGTCTTTAAAGAGGAGGAGAGAAGAGTATAGGTCTTGAGAGAGCTGGGCATTGTTTTGTATGATAGTAGCCTCTGCATTATTTTCAAGCACTAGAAGAGTATAAGGTTTGAATATTCAGTAATAGGTACTGTGATGTGGATTTCTAACAGGGAGGGCTTAGCTGCTTCTTCAGCTGCTTGGACCCAAGCCAAAGGTTGCTCCACCACAAAGGCCAGGAACTGTGTCTGACCTTGGCACATGTTCAGAATTCCATTATTGCCACTTTGAAATTCTTAATATTTTTAACAAGGTGTCATGTATTTTTATTTGGGACTCTGCAAGTTTTAATGGGCGCTGGGCACAGGGATGGGTGCAAAAACTTGGAAATATTTTGCTAATGAAATCAATGTCTACTATGTTGGCCATTATATATCTAGACATACAACTCAGAATCCACAGAGAGCAGATGGGTCTAAAGATACATACTGGTAAATCACAAGACTATATGTGATGAGAGAAACCGTGAACATGGGTGGTGGAGTGTGTGTAACCGGTAAAGTGAAAGGTGTGAGGACACATGCAAATGGAAGTCAGGAAGCCCACAGGTACCAGACCTGTGGTGTGCAGAGGAGTAAGAACTGTGGGCATGCAGAAGCTATGGGGTTGAGCAGTTCAGTAAGGAGAGGATGAGAAAAAGCATGAAATACAAGTGAGGTAGTTAGTGAGATAAGAACCAAATGGGACCTTTAAATTTGAGAAAGAGAAGACAGTACCCTCTGGTTGAGCCATTTTTGTTGAGTGGTGGGCTCAGGGGAGTTCAGGAATGAACTGAGCTGAAGAAGGGGAGACAGGGACCCTAAATGCATAAAGAGGCTTCAGAAGAGGTGACAAGGGAACAATTGGCCAGTAGGTAGCATTTGAGACAATAGGTTTATTTTTAGACTGGGGGAAATTTTAGTGTGCTCTGAGACTGAGAAAAAGAAGCCATCTGTGTGTGTGTGTGTGTGTGTGTGTGTGAGATCCAGTCTCATAGGTAATTATGATTTTTTTTACATTTTAAGTGCTCTAAATTGACCACCCTTTTCTGCTCAGAACATTTTCATTTTAACAAACTTCTGACTTTTCTCAGACATTTTCCTCTTTTCATAAACATTGGCAGTTTTTTTCTTCCTTAAGGCAAAAACTCAAATGACAAAGCAAAACATAAGCCTTCCAAATGCAGTGAATGGCTAAATTTATCAACGTACACTCAGTTTATGTGAAGTATTAAGTTGAACCTTAATTGGTGTGTTTGGTTTATTTTTCTTGGTTTATTTGCCTCCATCCAGGGGAAATTTATCACAGAACAAAGAATGATACCTCCAAAGCTTTATGTAGTCAAATATATTTCTTAGTGAAAACCACAAGCTGATCAAATTTGGAATTCACTCTGTTTAGGGTCTTGATTTAAATTTGGGAATTTAAAGTCCTCTTTCTGATTTTGTGTTTTGTTTTTAAGTGAATGATACATTTTTTTTTTTAATCCTGAACTTTCAAGTTGTCACAGTAATGATGTTAGAAAGAATATAGAAGTAGGCCAGGAAAAAACAATGTCCCTCCTGACATCAGAAAAGATGAGAAAAGTGTCAGGGCATTGCTGGGTGGGTTCTAGGTCACAGGCAACCAACTAAAAAAGAATGAGAATGGGTTCTGACTTATCTCTGTTAGCATATTACAGGCAAGGGTAAGTGCAAGGACTGCATGATTTACCGATTAAAGTAAAACATAAAAAATATGGCTGTTATCCCAGGACACTGACTTTAGGCATGCCCATTTTAATTTCATGTGACATACAAACAGTGGATTCTGAGGTCTTAATTAAATCTTTGGTATTTAACAGCATTATGATGAACTTTTTAATCCCAGTGTCAAGGTTTTCAGAAAAGAGCTCTCTGTTTCTGAAGGAATAAGATGTTTAGTCTTAGCCTAGTGAAATATTGATAAGGTTCTGATTTGCAATGATTTTCTGTCTTTGCTGATTTTCTCAGTCTGTAGTCAGTTCACATTTCCCTGTTATTTGCACACATCCAAAGTCAGATGAAATTAGGCCAGAGCTATTTCACTGGGGCCCACAGTGGCAATGATGTCCCCAGATATAGGAATTTGCCATCACATTGCTTCTTCATTTGGTCCACCATAAATATTTCATTCAGCTCTAAACAAGGCAGCTACTCCATGATGAAGCAAATATGGTGGGATTGTTTGCAGTTCATTCAGATCATACTAACTTTTAAACTCTCTGTAAAATATGAATTTTGGACACTTAGATGATCAAACTTTTTAAAAAGTTGATCTATGATTAATTTTATAAGTTAAATATAAGTTAACTTACAAGAAATTGTCAATATTTGACCATTGTTGACATAAAGGCAATTTTTATAGTCCAACAAAAATAGCATTTCTAATGACTCATGCAAGTAGAAAAGTGATGAGCAAGAATTTGTAATAGAACTTATAATGGAACAATTAAGAATACAGAACTTGCTGGAATTACTTTTGTTCTTTTCTCCTAATGAAATTTTATGTGTTTGATGTTGAAACTGTACTTTTTTAATAGAAAGGGACTGTAGGGGAATAGTGACCCAAAGGAAAGCATTATACCTATTTTTAAAAACTCTCAGACTGCCCTGGCTGGCGTAGCTCAGTGGATTGAGTGTGGGCTGCAAACCAAAGTGTCGCAGGTTCGATTCCCAGCCAGGGCACATGCCTGGGTTGCAGGCCATGACCCCCAGCAACCGCACATTGATGTTTCTCTCTCTCTCTCTCTCTCTCTATCTCCCTCCCTTCCCTCTCTAAAAATAAATAAATAAAATCTTAAAAAAAATAAAAACTCTCAGACCAAGAAGTTATATGCCTCCCAATTTAAAAATAAGCTGAAATTCTGGCTAAAATGTTTTTTTGCATTAAATAAAATGTGTTTTTTATTTTTATTGAATTTATTGGGATGACATTGGTTAATAAAATTATGCAGGTTTCAAGTGTACAATTCTATAATACATCATCTTTATACTGCACTGTGCATTCACCACCCAAAATCAAGCCTCCTGTCACCATGTATCCCCCCTTTACCCTCTTCTACCTCCATGAGCCCCTCTTTCTCTCTGGTAATCACCATACTATTGTCTGTGTCTGTTTTTCTCTTAATCTCTTCACCTTTTGCACCCAACCTCCTTAACCTCTCTCCTCTGACAACTATCCGTCTATTCTCTGTAACTATGATGATGTTCCTATATTGTTTGTTATTTATTTTGTTCATTAGATTCCACGTATAGGTGAAATCTTGTGATATCTGTCTCTGAATGCATAAGTTTTTCATTGTTTAGTGACTTGTTTTGGAAATTTCACAAAATGCTAATATAAATATTTACATTTTTAATAATCACATCCAACAGTTTTCAAGCACAAAATAGGCTGTGTGCCCATGCCATGTCTTCATTTGGTGTGCAGCACCACCAGTGCAGCAAATGCTATTTTTATCATTATTTTGTGGCTTAAAAAATCATGGCATGTCAAAGTTAAGAAACTTGCTGAAATTAGACAGCTGTTAGTGATCTATTATGGCAAACTTTGGGGATTAAACTGTGTGTATGTTTGTGTGCACATGCATGTGTGTTTGTGTGTGTTTAATTCTAGCTATTTTTAAATACTGTTTATTTTGCTATAATGAGTGCAGAGGGTTCTAACTTGTATCACATTTGTAAATTCTCAAGGTTTATCTTCACACATGGAAACGTTAATTGACCTAAAGAAAAGTACCATAAAAAGGTAGAGAAGAAAGGAAGACCTTGAAAAAATCTTCCTGTGTATACCATTACGCATAAAGAAGAGACAGAAGGAAGCAGGATCCAATGCTGTGGTTATTTGATGTCTTGTGTTCCTCAAGTGGTGAAAGAGGGTCAGACCAAACACAGATCTCAGGGCTAACACTGGCTAGCTAGGAGACTTAGCAGCTCCTGAACTACTCTGGGCCTCTCTTATAATGTAATCTGTACTGAGATAATCTCATGCTATTACATCATGCAGCAGTGGGGCTTGGTTCAGCAAAGCAAAGAACATGAATTGATGGGAGAAGAAAGAAGCCATTGGGGCGAGGGACTGGTCTGGCCACCCAACACCCCAGGAAGAAGCAAGTGAATGGGGGACTAGTCCAGCTGGTCAACACATCACCAAGGCCCCTGTGGTGTCTCCCCTGCAGCACAGACAAGTGTCTTGATTTTTAATAAGCATGTGTCAGTTCTCTGACGTCTTTGTGGCAGTTTGGCTATAGTCTTAAGCAGAGACCATTAATGACTGCATTTGAATGTTTTCTATAACTCGGACATAACACTACAGAGAAAATTGGGCACTGATACTCTGTTGCACAGACACATGGACCCCACATGACAGGACAGGATGATAATCATCACTACTCAGTTGCACTTTTATTGTGTTACTTCATCTTGATGACAATAATTTCTCTCAGGAGGGATTCAGGAAGCCACCCAGGTATTAGGGTTGGACACGAAAACAGCTATACCCACCATAGCCAACAGCAGAAACTAGCCGGATGCTGTGAAGCTGTATCTCTGACCTTGTGCTGTTCCATACAAGAAACCTGAGGTTGGGATTTGCCCTTTTCCTTCTGGTTCTGATAATCTGTTGCTGTCACTTGGAAAGAATGCATTCCCAGAGCCATATCCAGCTTGCCATCAGATTCTTTCTTCTCTTCATTCCTGTCTGACATTGCACCCTGCTACTCTTCCCAGCATGGAATCATATTGCAGCTCATTGGGCCCGCACAGAATGACAGCATGACAGCGGGAGCGAAGGGGCAGGGAGTCACTCATTCCAGAATGAGATGCATCACCTAGCATCCCCTTGGCCAAAGCCAAGAGCAGGCTGAAATCCAAGTCAACCTGAAAAGCATGAGAAACCACACAAAGGAAACACTGACTCAGGAGTTACCACACCTTCCAGAACAAGTTCAGAAGCATAATAGAAATCACAAATGTTGTCTCACCCAAACATTAATGTCAAGGATTTTTTTCCACACGCTATGGGTGAATGGGTGGCAGGGAGTGCAGTGGGGAGGCTGCTTTTTCAGAGAATGAGAGTTAAGATTTTTTAAATACTCAAGTATTCCTAAATTATTATTCTATCACATTTAACTTAATTATATTTTTATGTTTCCTACTTTTTTTCAGATTGTGAACATGTACTTTATTGTTTCATTGATTATACTTTTTTATTTTTCATTTTTATGTATTTTTGTTTTATACTTTTATTTTATTTATATTGTTTTATTTTTAAAAATTGTCATATGTTACACTATGGCACTTTAAAGTACACATAAAGCCGCATCCCAGACTGGAGTACATGCCCCTTGAAGACAGCTCATTCACCTTGATGGGCATCTCTGAACTTTAATGTGGCATATCTGAGTTAACTTGAATTTCAACTGCAGTAAAGCATAACGCTACAACAACTCAGCCAAGGCGACAGACAAAGCTATCAATCCCATGCCGATCTAATGGAAGGGGAGATCTAATTTCAGAAATTACACTTCTAGTTTTCATCATTTCTTGAATGATCTGGAAGATGTGAAGGACAGTGACCAATAATTTCCTTTTTGTCTATTTGTTTGTTTGTTTGTTTGTTTAGTATTTGAGTCATATGGTATAAAGGCAAATGAAACACTAACAAACCCTGGACTATATACCTCCTGCACAAAATCTGCTCTAAGTTTGTAGCCATCAGTACTGGTAACAGGATCCGATTTTTCATATAAGGCCCGTGCATTTCCATAATTGCTCCTCCGTGCCTGGTGCTTACCTGCTTTGTTTTCCATTGCCATTTTATAATAGCATGCCTAAGTCCCATCAATATTCAGGTTAGCCCTCTAAAATGAAACTATAAATTTCAATTTGGACAAAATAAGCCCTCATTTGGGTTCATAAGTTTTAAATAACACATTACCATTGGCTACACTAAGTTTGCATTTCTAATGTTATTTTATGCATTTGACAATAGATGTTCCACTCTGCTCAGGAGAGGAAAGCAAGTGCATGTGAAATGTAAGTCTGCTTAAAATGGAGGAATTGATTAGAGCTGTCAGTCAGCACTGACAAGAGAGGTAAATTATTTCTAAAGATATTTGAGACCTCTGTGTATGCTCTATTGTCTGCAGGTTCTGAAGTTTCAGAATCTGATCTCCAAAACCTCGTCAAAATATTGTCTCCACATTTTAAGGGCCTGACAAACAAAGCCCAATCTTAAATGTATTGTGAGAATAGTTCGGTGCAGGCTCCAAACTGAAGGAGAGCTATTGAGAGCAGCAGTAGATGCCCAGAGCAGAGCTCACACCCGACACTCCATGGTGGTTCCAGCAGCAACCACATCATCCACACCATCTCCTTCCAAGTGGCCAGTTAATTTATATCCATACCACTGCAAAGGCAGGAGCATTAGTCCTATGAAATCATCTTTTACTTTGTGTCAGGATTGATTGTGGGATTGTTTCCAATAATTATTTGATCCTTTACTGAACTGAAAAATGCAGAAAATTTAATAAAAAGATATCATATATACCCTTGAAGAAACTACCACTCAGACCTAAATCATGGTACTCTATGGCATTTTTCTCTTCCCCTCTAAGTAGCCACTCTAAACAACAGAAAATAATAACATAATATTTAAAAAGCAAATCAGCACACTTGTATGTATGTGTGGTTTGTGATAAAGTAATTTTTATGGGAAGATCTGCATGCTTTGTCTGACATGTTTTTTAATATCATTAACTTTTGCTTGGAAAGCATTGTAAAACATCAGTTGATGCTATCACTGTATATGTACATCCATGTCATATTTGAAAGTGAGAGACACTCCAATTTTGAGCTGATAATAAGCTGCACATTCAAAATTCCAGAACCACTCTTTTAGAAATACCAGATGAAGCCATTTACTTATCAGCAAGTGAAATTTAGGGAGAGTTGAGTGTTATGATCAATGACTGGGGTGCACTGACTTCAACTTGGCTCCATTCTCCCTATTCTGTTCCCATCACCTCTGCCATGGGACTTGGCTGCCCTCGCATAAAAAGGCAGTATCTATTTCCCCTCCTTTTGAATCAGGCTGATTTGCTTTAGCCAACAGAAAGTGGGGGATATGATGTTGTGGTAGTTCTGAGCTTCAAACAGCTATGAGCATCTTCTCTCTTGCTTGGAGCTGGAGAGCACTGACACAGGAGCAAACCCAGACTAACCTGCTAGAGGTGAGAGGCACCTGGAGAGAAGCCCTCCAACCCAGCGCTCTGAGGAAAACCACCTGGACTCGCCACCCCCAGCCAACCCATAGTTGATCACAGAGGCATGAGTCAGGCCAGTTGACCCATGAGCATCTGAACAATAATAAACTATTATGTTTAATGTCCCTGAGTATGGAGATGTTTTTTGTACCCTAGAAAACCAGTTCCTTATCTCCAGTGCCATGATAATTACCATTTATTGATACCAGATAATATACTGGATGTTGTTACATGCATTCATAATTTTATTTAATCCCTATAAAAACCTTTAAGGAAATATGACACCATCCTCATTTTAAAAAAAGAAGATATTGAGGTTAAGACATTTGGTCAATGTTTGAACCTAGATTTACATTATATCAAAAGTTTTAACAATTCAGTGTCCTCTTTCCAAAATGTAGCTCTGAACCAGAATGTCATGTGATAATATGACTCTGGCTGAACATCAGGCCTTGTTTGGCATCTCATCTGTCTGCAGGAGTGAGAGGTGGTCTACAGTATTGTTTCTCCTTTAGGCTCCAGGTGGCTCTTATCTTCCTTCTCCTCCTATTTGGAGCAGGTAGATCCATATAGCAAGCTAGCAGGTAAAAAAATTTTACTGTCTCAAAGTTAGATGAGGGTAAAAAGTGGATAAATGGTGCTAAAAGGAAACTTGACCTGGGGTGGTGAACATACTGTACAATGTACAGATGATATGTTATGGAATTGTACATCTGAAACCTATGTAATTGTATTGACCAATGTCACCCCAATAAATCCAATAAATACATTTTTTTAAAATGGACTGTCTTTTCTCCCATCTCTTCAAATCCCTCCAGGAGGCTGACTGCCCAATGGGATTCAGCTTGTCCTGACGGATACCAAACTTCTACTGTAAGATGGAATCATTAACCTTTCCATGTTCTCTGTTAGGGGCCATCATGCTACATGTTAGGACAGTGGGTGAGGAGGCATGACATAATTTCATGACTTCCTATATAGCTAATAAGTCACTGCTCTGCAATGACAACCTACTTTGACAGGTTTGAATGGTCAAGCACACCATTTTTTCCCCCATCACATTAGGGACTTACCTGAAAAAAATATGGAGTACATGTTTCTTTGCATGTTTCTCAAAAAGCATGTAGTAGTCTCTATCTTTGATCTTGGTGCAAGGCATTAAACATAACTGTGATACTAAATACACACACAAACACATGCAGGTACACACAAGGGACACAGACTTGGCAAAACCATCTCCTGCTTAATTCTTAGGTAAAATTGTCTACTTAGATGCATATGCATCCCGGTGGCTAAACTGTCCTTGGGAATTTCAAATCAAGATAAAACCTGTTTAGGTCTTTGCCAAGGGTCACATTGAGCTGCAAGAAGCTTCTGGAGTGTCTTTAAGAGTCTGCAGTGTGGCAGAAGACATCAAGACCAAAATCAAGAATTACCAGTCTGCCCCTTTTGCTAGTGGTTTCCTCAACTAGAATCAGACCAGGAACTGTTAGCAGAACTACCTGGACTTCCATTGCTGTGATAAGGCAATGACCACTAAAGTCGGTGATGTCTCTGTGAGCGAATGGTACCAGCATGTGTACATGTCCCTTTGCCCCATATCCTGGGTGTTGGCTTGGGGTCACCACTGGGCAGAAGGCACATTCTCTGGGAAGATCTGACTGACTGCACCAGATCTGTCCTCTGTCCACCATCCTTCTCCCAGGGAGGTGAAGGGGGACCTGGGTACATCCCACCCTATGATCCTGAGTCATGAATTAATTAATAATAAATACTTGTTGGAAAAGTACAAAAAAGATAAAAAGTCTTTAAAAAATTATGGTTTTCAAAAAATACAAATATGTCTTGAGATTAAAAAATTAGTCCCCATTCTCAGAAAGCTCCATTGAAGGATATTGCACTTTCATCTTTAAATCTCTATAATTTGGAATAATCATATGATTCTCTTGTTTTCAGCTTACTCTTCATATGTCTGCTTCTTCATACCAAGGAAGGAATGATATGAATACTGGAGCTCTTGTTTTATCACTTTTTAAAGTGAAAAACACTTGCCCAGAAAAAAATGAATATGAATACAAGGCATCAGGTATGAAAATAAGGCAGTGTTTTCTACAATTCATGTATTGATGCTTAGTAGGAGAGTTTTTTTTTTTCACTAGGAGAAACTGCAATTATCATATTCTCTCAAGAGCAGCTCTACTGGTCTGAATCCAGAATTTGTTTTCAAGAAGAGGAACAAATTGGCTCAATATGCAACCATTTGTTGCCAAATGAGTTGACAAATATGTAGGCATGCAAAGATCACACATTCGTTGAGGGAAAACATAATTTATTTTAAAACTGCTGCTTTGTACCTGTGAGACTGGCAAGAACTAAGAAGATCTCATGGTGGGCAGTGTTTCTCCCTTGTAACACATTGCAGTGGGTGGAAGAGGTGGGATTTGCTCCTCTGTGTGCCCCAATCCCCCTCTTGTCACTCTCCTTTGTCAGGAGATAGGGTCCTTATACCCATCTTACACTTCCATCCTCACCTTCACACTGGTTTTTATAATACTTAATAGATTGTTCATTTTTGCTAAGATGCCACAATCTTACCCCAGGGATATTTGCATTTTGAGAGCTGTCAGAATTTTAAGCAAAGATGTGCTGTTCTGATGACAGGCCAAAGCTGAATGGTGGAGGAGGGGAACGTTCTGTTCCATAGGCACCCTGGTGTCTTCAGGCACAGGGGCTTTCACTGCAGATGGGTGAGCCTGGCAGGTGGGTATGCCTGCCAAAAATGATGTTTGCTTTGGTTTTATAGCTTTTGCCACCAACATTGAGTGGGATTCTTAAATCAGAATCTCTACATAAATTGCTTTTGCCATTAAGTTTCCTGATTTTCAGTTTCTTCCTATTTGGCCCAAATGTCATTGAATTTTAAATTATGTTAAAGATGTAAAGAGCACCGAAGGAGGATTTACTCCAAACCCTTTACTTACAGATGATGCCACACAGATGTCACAATGTCAGGGTACTTGCCCAAGCTCATAGGTCAGTGCAGAGCAGCTTGAAGACCCAGGCCTCCCTACACAGTGCAGTCTCCTCTTGAGGGCACTGGCTCCAGTGGCCTCCAGCACTCCCGCTGTCCAGCACAATGTTGAGAATGCTCTGAACCCTGTGGGCCTCATCAATGCTTTTGTTCTGCAAAAGAGAGATAATGTTCCTAGATTGCTCAGAAGGAGGCAAATGGAGAGCTTGGAAAATTTGACCAGAACATATGAAAAACATGCAAAATACATTTATGCTTAATAAATAACAAAGCTGATGGTAAGAAGAGTGTTTGATGTTTGGCTCCTTTATTAAAGATCCTCTAATTTCTGATAACTTCATATCCATAACCTCAACACATGAAGAACTGCAGCTCAAATAGGAAGAATGTAAACCCAGGGGAAACCCTAGCTCTGACTCATGCCTTTCCATGTTGTCTCCTGAACACACAGATAAACATAAAAACAAGAACACAGGTTTCATGCAGATATACACAAAATATTGAGTTTTACAATCTATATCCCCATTTTCTTAAAAAATGTGATGGTATCTATAAAAAAGAGAGATAAATGCATAGTAAGATGTTTATGTGAAAATTAAAAATTAAAATACAGAAAGAAAAAGAAAAGTATTGTTAAAAATATATGTTGTAATTTAGTTACAATGAATTTAATTCTACATTTTCTGCCAATACTTCTCATTGTCTGAAAGAAGGAAACACATATGTCTTCATCAAGAGAGATTTTAAAAATTTAATTCTTATAGAAAAATATCATTTAATTCCTCAGATTGAGATCCTAAGCCACAAAATGATCAATGTCTTCACCTATGGATTTCCAGGCCATTCATCCCTTCTTTCTCAGACATGGATGTCTGCAGCAGCAGCAAGAGCTAGTCCTCCCTTCTCCCTCTCATACTCTTACAAAAACCTCTCTTGCTGGGCTGCTTATGTGCAGTAGTGGAGGACATTTCCAGCAACAACAAGTCCTTGCATGACTTCTCTTGCACCTCGTTTTGCTTCCTGTGATGGTGGATATAATATGTCAACTTGACTAGTCCATATGTACCCAGGCATTAGGAAATTGTTGTTCTGGGTGTTTCTGTGATGGTACTTCAGGGTAAGATTAATATTGGAATTGATAGACAAAGTCAAGCAGATCGTCCTCCCCAATGAGATATTGACAGCAACACAGGCATGGTAGGTAATCTTAACACACTATTGTCAACAATGAATAGATCTTCCAAGCAAAGAATCAACTAGGGTATTGTGGCACTGAAGGACACTCTGGAATGAATGGACTTAATTGATATATACAGTACAATTCACCCTAAAGAAGCTAAATATACATTCTTTTCTAATACACATGGGACATTTTCAAAGATAGACCACATGGTAGGACATAAAATAGGTCTCAACAAATTCAAGAAAAATTGAAATCTTATCAAGCTTCTTCTTGAATTAAATAGATTGGAACTAAAAACCAACCACAAGGAAAAAACTCGAAAACATTCAAATACATGGACACTGAATAACATGCTCTGGAATAATGAATGGGTTAACAATGGGATCAGGGAAGAAATAAAAAAAGTTTCTAGAAACAAATGAAAATGAATACAAAGCAGCCCAAAACCTATGGGACACAATGAAGAAAATCCTGAGATGGAAGTTCATGGCAATACAGACCTTGCTAAAAAAGATAGAAAAATCTCAAATAAACAACCTAACCTTACACCTACAAGAACTAGAGGAACAATAGCAAACAAAGGCTACAGCAAGTAGAAAGGAGAAAATAATCAAGATCAGAGGAGAATTAAATGACATAAAGACTAAAAGAACAATTCAAAGGATCAATAAATCCAGGAGCTAGTTCTTTGAAAAGATAAACAAAATTAACAAGCCTTTAACCAGAACCATCAAGAAAAAAATAGGACACAAATAAATAAAATCATAAATGAAAGATGAGAAATTACAACTATTAACACAGAAATACAAAGGATTGTAAGATATTACTACGAACAATTATGTGCCAAGAAATTTGACAACATGAGTGAAACATGAGTGACAATATGAGTTTCTAGAAACATATAATCTTTCAAAACTGAATCAAGAAGAAGCAGAAAGCCTGAATAGACTGATAACAATTAGTGAAATTGAAGCAGTAATAAAAAATATCATGGGCACACAGAAGCCCTGGACTGGATGGCTTCATGGGTAAATTTACCAAACATTTAGTGAAGAGCTAACTCCTATCTTCCTCAAACTATTTCAAAAAATTCAAGAAGAAATAAGACTCCCAAACTCTTTTGATGAGGACAGTAGTATCCTAATTCTGACCCCAGATGAAGACAAAACAAAGAAAGAAAACTACAGGCCAATATTGCTCATGAAGATAAATGCTAAAATCCTCAAAAAAATATTGGCAATCTGGATCCAGCAATACATTAAAAAGATCATACACCACATCTAAGTGTGATTCATCTTAGGAATGCAAGGATGGTACAATATTCACAAATCAATAAATGTAATACATAAACAAAATGAAAAACAAAAACTACATGATCATATCAATAGACATTGAAAAAGTATTTGATGAAGTATAGCACCCATTTATGATAAAAACCCTCAGCAAAGTGGGAGCGCAGGGAGCATACCTCAACATAAGAAAGGCTTTATATGAGAACCCTACAGCCAACATCATACTCAATAAAGAAAAACTAAAAGTTTTCCCCCTAAGATCAGGAACAAGACAAGGGTGTCTACTTTCACTACTTTTATTCAACATAGTATTGGAAGTTCCGGCCGCAACAATCAGACAAGAAAAAGAAATAAAATGTGTTCAAATTGGAAAGGAGGATGTAAAACTGTCGTTATTTGCAGATGACTTGATAATGTACCTAGAAAACCCTACAGTTTACACCGAAAATCTGCTCAACTTAATAAGTGAATTTGTCAAAATAGTGGGATACAAAGTCGATTGAAGTCAGAAATTGAGGGCATTTTTGTACACTAACAGTGAAATATTAGAAACAGGAATAAGGAAATATAATCCCAGGGACTATAGCAACAAGAAAAATAAAGTACCTAGGAATAAACCTAGCCAAGGAGGTAAAAGACCAGTACTTGGAAAACTACAGAACACTGAAGAAAGAAATTAAGGAAATACAAATAAGTGGAAGCATAATTCTTCATGGACTGAAAGAATTAACATCATTAAAATGTCCATATTACCCAAGCCAGTCCCTATTGTGGGATTAAACACAATCCCTATTAAAAAACCAATGGCATATATCACAGATTTACCACAAATATTTCAAAAATTTATATGGAACCAAAAAACCACCCCAAATTGCTGCAGCAATCTTGAGAAAGGAGAACAAAGTAGAAGGGATCACAATACCTGATATCAAACTGCATTATAAGGCCACTGTAATCAAAAGAGCTTGGTACTGGCATAAGAACAGACAGATAGATCAGTGGAACAGAATAGAGAGCCCAGAAATAAACCCAGGTCTCCATGGTTGATTAATATTTGACAAAGGAGGAAGCAACATAAAATGGAGTAAAAATAGCCTCTTCAATAAATGGTTTCGGGAGACATAGACAGGTATATGCAAAAAAAAATGAAACTAC